TGGCTAAGAGTTGAGACACTGGGGGGCACCTGGATGGCTCAGTGGGTTAAAGCCTCTGTCTTCAGCTCAGGTCATGATCTCAGGGTCCTGGGATCGAGCCCTGCATCGGGCTCTCTGCTCAGCAGGGAGCCTGCTTCCTCCTCTCTCTCTGCCTGCCTCTGCCTACTTGTGATCTGTCTGTCAAATAAATAAACAAAATCTTTAAAAAAAAAAAAAAAAGAGTTGGGTGGGACACTGGAACCAGATTGCCTGTGTTTGGATCCAGGCTCCACCACTCACCAGCTGTGTGACCTTAAGCAAGTTACTTTACCTCCCTGAGCTTCAGTTTCCTCATCTGTAAAGGGGAGCTTTTAAAAATACCTGCTTCAGGACGCCTGGGTGGCTCAGTTGGTTGGGCAGCTGCCTTCGGCTCGGGTCATGATCCCGGTGTCCTCGGATCGAGTCCCGCGTCGGGCTCCTTGCTCCGCGGGGAGCCTGCTTCTCCCTCTGATTCTGCCTGCCACTCTGTCTGCCTGTGCTCGCTCTCTCTCTCTCTCTGACAAATAAATAAATAAAATCTTTAAAAATAAATAAATAAAAATACCTGCTTCACAGAGTTTTTGTGAGGATGAAATCACATATAGCACCTAGAGCAGGGCTTCGCACATAAAACGCTCTCTGTAAGTGTTACCTTTATTACTGTTACTGTCAGATTTCCAATCTCGCATTCTGACTCAGCATGGCAGCATGGATATTTACACAGTCACCATGGAGAAGCCAGAGTCCTTTGTATAGTGGGATGTGTGTCCAACCTTGGCTTGTCATCAAGTAATTTTAAGCTTCTTTCTACCCAGGATACAGGGCTGAATTGAAAGGAATATGTGGGGGACACCTGGGTGGCTCATTCGGTTAAGCATCTGCCTTCGGCTCAGGTCATGATCCCAGGGTCCTGGGATCAAGTCCCACATCGGGCTCCCTGCTCAGTGGGGAGTCTGCTTCTCCCTCTGCCTCCTGCTCCTCCTGCTTGTGCTTGCTCGCTCTTTCTCTGACAAATGAATAAATAAAATCTTTTTCTTACAGATTTTATTTATTTATTTGTCAGACAGAGATCACAAGTAGGCAGAGAGAGAGGAAGGGAAACAGGCTCTCCGCTGAGCAGAGAGTCGATGCGGGGCTCGATCCCAGGACCCTGGGATCATGACCTGAGCTGAAGGCAGAGGCTTTAACCCACTTAGCCAGCCAGACGCCTCTGAATAAATAAAATCTTTTTAAAAAGCGGGGGGGTGGGGGGAGGAAAGGAAGAAAGGAATATGTGGAAATGAGCCCTAACGCTGGTTTGTAGGTGAGACCAGAATCCCCTGTGCTCTACAACTGCAGGTCCCTCTGCCTCCTGTTTCCCTGCCTTGTACACAAAGGGAATTCCTCAACTGTGTATATATTTGGCTCCTACACCCTACCAGAACCCATGCTTGACCTTCAAGGCTTTGCCTAAGTACCATCTGCTTTCTTGTGATTCTTTATATACCACTACTACTACTACTACTACTACTTATAATAATACAGAGTCTAGACAGCTCATGTGACAGCTCAAGGCACAATACTAAGTATTTCCAATGCAAAATTCATAGAATCCTGGGGCGCCTGAGTGGCTCAGTTGGTTAAGCGTCTGCCCTAAGCTCAGGTCATGGTCTCAACATCCTGGGATCAAGCCCCGCATTGGGCTCCCTGCTCAGTGTTGAGTCTGCTTCTCCCTCTCCCTCTGTCTCTCCCCCAACCCTGGCTTGTGCACATACACTCTCTCTCTCTCTCTCTCAAATAAATAAATAAAAATCTTAAAAAAAAAAAAAGTCATAGAATCCTGAAATTCACCATACAGCTGAGGAGATTGAGGCTCTGAGAGAAAGAAATAACATTCCTGGGCCCCACAGCTGGAAAGAGGCAGAGCTGGACATCACTTTCTGGCATCAGAGCCCTATCCCACCCATTTGGCACTCAGGCTGGGTATCGCAGCCATATATGTCTTGTTTTGTCATGTGTCACGCTGTATCGTGGTGTTCTCTCTGCATGTCAGGGTCTTGGCCTGCCTGCCTGTGGACTCTGAGATGAATAACTGTCTAATTTACGTTCGGGCCTCTGCTCCTGCTAGAGGGACATACATTGAACTTGTGGAGGTACACAGAGGGGTGGGGAAATTTTCCTCAGCCCCACAGCACACTGCTGCCAAAAGGGAGGTGAGTCAGTACTGCTCACCCACCCCACCCCTTCCTCCCAGCAGAGCTGCCCCTGGGTACTCCAAAAAGGAGGGTCTCCCTCCCGGCCACCTCAGTCAGGCACATGCTGGGGTTTGGTGAAACGCCTCCCCACTCCCCCTCTCCCTGACAGTCCCAGCTCCTCATACACAGTTACAGCACTTTATACTTTGCCAGGCTGTTCTGCATCCCATATCTCATTTAGTTGAAATCTCTCGGCCCTTTTAGAGGTAAATAAAGCTAGAGACTGTGATCCTGTTTGACAGAGGAGTAAACTGAGACTCCGAGAGCAAAGGATGTGCCTCAGTCACCCAGCAAGCCATTTACTAGAGCACTGAATGCCTTTATCATACTTTTTTTTTTTTATAAATTTTTATTTATTTGACAGAGATCACAAGTATGCAGAGAGGCAGGCAGAGAGAGAGAGGGAAAGCAGGCTCGCTGAGCAGAGAGCCTGACGTGGGGCTTGATTCCAGGACTCTGGGATCATGGCCTGAGCCGAAGGCAGACGGTTAACCCACTGAGCCACTCAGGTGCCCTGCCTTTATCAAACTTTATGTGTATTGTTCGCATGCGTGTGAATTTTATCTGTAGGAAAAATTCCCTGAAGTGGAAGTGCTTGGTCAAAGGTGTATGCACTTGTGATTTTGACAGATACTGTCAGTGTGCTCTCTGCAGGAAGACCGATTTTACCCTCCTGGAGGTACCAAGGGTCAGCACCTGTTTCCCTGTAGCCTCACCAACTCAGTCTGTTACCCAGTGGGGACTTCTGCCATTCTGACAGATGAAAACTGGAATCTCAGTGCACTTCACTTCGAGCTCCTCTTATTAAAAGTGAGGGTGGAAAGAAAGAAAAAAAAAGAGTGAGGATAACATTTTTTTCCTGTGAATAAGAGCTTTTTGTGGTTCCTGCTCTTTGAACCTTCTCGGTGCCCTTGGGCACATGTAAATTGCAGTTTGGTGCATCTGCTGTGTTGCCCTCCCCAAAAGGCTGGACCATTTTGCACTATAACCAACAGTGTGTGCACATCCCAGCCCTATTTTGTGGCCATTGCATGGGCTTACTGCTCTCTGCCCTGTCTCCTTCCCTTTCTGCAGTTTTCCTTCCATTGTTGGGCAGAAGGTCTGCCTGACCCGAAATCTGCCCTCGCCAGGCAGCTTCCCCTTGAGCATGTTTTGTCCTGTTGGTTTTTAAGAGGCAACCGTGAGCCAAAAAAATTAATGAGACTCTGCAGCTGAACATGATCCCTTGTCCCCGGGGTGCTGGTGCCTTATTCACAGGATAGACGTGGTGATGGTAGAATCTTAGGCATTGAGATGAGCCTGTGGAGAGAGAACTTGACTTTGACTTGAGCAGAAGTCTCATCTGGTATTACCTCTGGTAGCTAGGATATAAAGTGCAATAGACATACAAAGTGCAGGGAGAATTGCAGTGGGAGAGGAGGCTTAGCCAGTGGGCAATCTGGAAATGCTTCATGGCAGTGACATTGGCAAAGGTCCTTGATGACTGTGTTCTGCTTAGCTGAGAGGGCACGGAGAGAGCATGATGATCTTGAAAGCTTTCAACTTTGTGTTTTTTAATGTAAATTTAAACCAGAATTATACTGCCACTGGTGGATTCTCATTAGAAAGTTTTCTGGCGGGTGCCTGGGTGGCTCAGTCGGTTAAGCTTCTGCCTTTGGCTCAGGTCATGATCTCGGGGTCCTGGGGTTGAGGCCCACATCGGGCTGTCTGCTCAGCGGGGAGCCTGCTTCCCCCTCTCTCTCTGCCTGCCTTTCTGCCTACTTGTGATTTCTCTCTCTGTCAAATAAATAAATAAAATCTTAAAAAAAAGGAAGAAAGTAAGTAAGTAAGTTTTCTGGGAGGGGCGGTTTATTCAGTCAGTTAAGTGTCTGTCTTCGGCTCAGGTAATGATCACGGGGTCCTGGGATCGAGCCCCACATCGGGCTCCCTGCTTGGCGGGAAGCCTGCTTCTCCCTCTCCCACTCCCCCTGCTTGTGTTCCCTCTCTCGCTGTGTCTCTCTGTCAAATAAATAAATAAAATCCTTTTAAAAAAAAAGTTTTCTGGCTGGAATTCTATGAAGTTGATAAAATCCCTATTCTGTGCTGTTGCTCCACTCCCATTTTTTTCTTTTTTTAAAGTACTGAAATTATTTTGACTACATCCGGGTTTTTTCATGTAAGTATTTATCCTCTGTCGTGTCTTTACCCAAAGCACATTGTCGCCAACTGTAGCATCTGCCATTGTGGATTTAATTGTGGCTTTTACTCTTACCGGATTCAGTTTCCCCAGTCAAATTTCTTAAGTGTAAGTTTTGTCAAGATTTGCTTCTCCTTGCAGTTGGCGTCTGCCGTGTACAGTTTCAATTGCTGTCCGTTTTATCAGTTGTTGGGTTGTTTCTACTCAGACCTATTGAATAACAAATTCATCGTGTTTGCCTGGTAGCTAATCCATAAGGAAACCGGGAATAGTTCTCATGAGGTCTAGGACTGCTCTGTTGTCAGAGTATCCAAGGTTTTCTCTCAATTATTTCATGCCATAACTGCCTCTGCCATCACTCTTGTCCCCAGATATGCCACACATGCACTGCTGGGGCCCAGATGGCCCTCGTGCAAAATGGCAGGGTGAAGTATCTTGTCCCAGGGTGGGCAAAGGGAATCGCATTGCCAAAGCCTGGGGTCGGAAAGATGTGGTGGAAGGATGAATGAGCCGCAGCCCCAGAGGCCAAAACTGCACCACCGACTCACAGGCACCTTTCTTGTCTGCTCTAGAACGCCTCGGACATGCCGGAGACTATCACCAGCCGGGACGCCGCCCGCTTCCCCATCATTGCCAGCTGCACACTCTTGGGGCTCTATCTCTTTTTCAAAGTAAGTCCTTTGCCACCCGTTGTGTTATTTGGTTTAAATAACTTTGTTTTGTTTTGTTTTTCCCATCACAGGAGATATGCATGTTCATTTGTAGAAAATAAAGAAACAAGGTGGAAAAAAAAGTCCTAATAATTCACCTCTAGACTGACTGCCAACACAGAGATAACCACCGATGGCGTTTAGGACTCTTTCCCATAGTCATTATTTCTTTTCTCTGTGTGGCTTTTTTGTTTTGTTTTCATGATACCATTTTGGTTTGCACTGTACTGTTTATGCTGGGACGGGGTATAGCTTGTGTCTCCAATGCGCCTCTACCATACTAATTGCCTTTTTTTTTTCTTTAATTTACCGAGGTTTATTTTCCCAATAAAAGTTACACAGGCTCAGTGTTGAAAACGTGGAAAACACAGAAAAGTAAAAAGGGGAAAACAGCAGTCATCCAAAACCCCACTACCAGAGACAATCACAGATTCCCTTTGGAGGTGTGTCCTTGCGCTGTTTTCCCGGTGCATGGTTTCTCCGTAGCTGTGGCCACGTGGCGTACTCAGTTTTGTAGCTGCTGCTTTCACTCCCCATTAATAACATCATAAGCATTCTCTCATGTTAACTGCAAACTCTTCTGAAGCTTTTCCTTTTTTCTTCTTCTTCTTTTTTTTTTTTTTTTTTTTTTTTTTTTTTTTTTTTTTTTTTTTTTACTATAACACATACTATTTTCTGATTATGGAAGTAAGATATGCAGAAAACTTTTAAAGAGTGGGCGAAAAATACGCAGAGGTAACAGTCACTATTAACGTTTGGGCATGTCTCCTTTCAGGCTTTTAATAAGCATGCTTTTCTCATAAATATGATCCTATCCTAGCTGTAGTGTTGTGTCCTGTGTTTTTGCAGTCGTGCCTCACAAGCGCTTTTTCCCTGGTCACTGAAAAGCTCTCAAGGACGACTTTTAATTCACGTGTTAAAAACACAGGTAGATGGTGAAAAAAAAACATTTTCGGTCTAAGGGAAGACGTAAATGAGCCATAATCTTCTCCCCAGTGTAGTCTCTCCTGGATCTTCTGCGTAGATCTACGTTTATGTTAAAATTTAAAAACAAATGTATGTGTGAGATACAGGGTGTTTACCGTAGAGATATTTTTCTATCCGTGCAGTCACGTCTGCCTCATTAATCTTAACACCTGCCTGTAGCTCTGTTTTACGGCTGCGCCTCTGAGGGATGTCTGGTGCTGGGATGTCACAGCGGTGCTGCTGCGAGTGCCAGCCCCGGGGTACAGGATCTCGGCCTGGGCACGTGTGTTCAAGTGTATTTGCAGTAGGAGGAACAGGTCACGTAGCATCTCCATTTGTAGTTTGAACAGATAGTTCCAAATCCCCGCGAAAGATGGCACCCTTTTCCATTTCCCCTGATCGGGAGCAGTGGGCTGGCTGCCTTGACTCTCACCAGCGTGGGGTGGCATCAGAATTCCTCATCTTTGCCAGTCTGTGAGCGAGTCCACGACGTAATATTTAACACCTGCTTCCTGTCCCATCGTTCCCTCGTTGTTGGATCAGAACTATGCTGCTTAATGGTTTCAGAATCCCCCCACAGGCAGGTTGACCACAGCTCACCTCCAGCACCCCCCCCCCCCCCACTTTAAACAAGAGAAGCCATTCTGGTTTTTACTCTTACAAACCAGCGTGCATCAAGTAACATTAGGTATTCACGGATTTTTTTTTTTTTCCTGGACCTTGGGTGAAGAGTTGGATTTATTCCATGCTTCGATTCATAGCATCCCGTCATCAGTCCATGCCAGGCGCCCCTCCACCCCTAGTGCCCGCCTCCATGTCCCACCTCCATGTCCCTGTCCACAAGAAACACCTGCTCTGATGCATTTGCTTTGTCTTCAGATGTGTGTCTCCTTATAAAACGTATGGTGTTGGTCTGTCTGTGTCTACTGAGAGTCCAGCTTCCATAAACAGAGCTGTGCGGTGCATCTCCCTCTGTATGCCTTTTCTCTCCCCTGTACTTTTGAGATCCCTCTGGGGCCGTCTGCACATCTGGCCCATTGCCTCCAGCTTAGCTTTTGGCAGAGATTTCTCAGGTCTCTGCTGTGCTGAGTGCCAGGGATACATCCGCAGGCCCTTGCCTCAAGACCCTCTAACATTTTTAGTACTTAGGATTCTTTCCTTCAGCTAGGTTCCCTCAGAAAGAAATTTCTGGCAGTGGAGGGTAGGAGCAATTTTTCTTTAAGCCACTGGATGCTCAGCCTGTCCCCCACTGCAGGCAGGTAAGCCCCAGCCTGCCATGCACCAGAGGACACAGCATACCTCTTGCTCATGTCTCTAGAGGGTCCACACTGGGATTTCTGAGAGGCAGCCACCTGGACAACACAGCCAACAGATTCCTCCCAAACTCCAGGCTGGTGGCTTGTGAATTGGTTTTCCGAATGGTGGGATACCTCGGCCCCTTTCCTCCCCACCACCACGCGGGGTGGGATGTTTCTCAACGTTATAAAATGTATCTGATTCCACCTCATTTAAAACTGATTGCTCTGAGGCAGCATACAAAAATTATACGAGCAGCATAAGCATAAAAAAGTAAAGGAAGAAATTGGAGTGAAAGAGAAAATTAAAATAGGATTAAACAAAGCCTTGGGTGAGGACCATACCCCGAACCCAGGCCGTAAACTCGAAAGACATGTACTTTTGTCAGAGTGGCTCTGATATTGGTGTCGCTCTGAGCTTCTAGCAGCTAAAGCACAGAGAAAGCCAGGCTTGGTGAGACTGGGTGTACAGTCCATAGGCCACACAGTCCAGCCAACTCGCTGTAAGTTGCAGCCAGAGAGATGTTCCTAAGGGCCCAGGGGGAAGGAACACTACTGAGAGGTAGACCACATCATCATAAAACATGGCCCACGTGCCTATGAAGTATGTTCATAGGGCTTTTTCTTATGGTAGTCACATTCTAGGCCACTGCTTTGCTCATCCATCCATTCTGCAAACGTTTACTGAGTGTCTGCTGTATACAAGGCCCCGAGTGAGAAAAACTGACCATCCCTGCTCTCCAGGAGTCTTGTTAGTTGGTGGAGATGGACACCAGTCAGTCACATTGATAAATGTGAAGCTACAGTCCTGGGAAGTGCTGCAGAAGCAAGGCGTAGCAACAGGAAAGCACAGAAGAGCCCCCCAGCTAGCATGAACCTCTGCCCCTGCCCCACTCCCACCTCCAACAGCAGCACCTTCACCTACCTCACTGCTCAGCCAGCCACAAACCCGGGAGCCGCCCTCCCTGCACTTGCAGTCAAGGGCACCGTCTTCTGTCCGCCAGAGTCTGCAGTACCCTCCTCACCGGGCTGTCTGCTTCCACCCTCGCCCTGGGCAGTCTGTCTCCCACACAGCAGCACAGGAATCCTCTCAGGCCATCCAGTCATGTCACAGCCCTGCCCTTGGTCTCCAGTACTGGCCTGACTCACCAGAGGAATCTAGATTTTCTCATGGCCCTGTTGAGTCTCTCTGCCTCTCAACAGTCCCAGCCTCATCTCCTGACACCGGCCCCTTACTCTCTCAGCTGTAGGCTCACAGGCCCTGACTCTTCCCCACATACATAAGCAACATACCCACCTCAGGACCTTTGCACTCACCTTTCTCTCTGCCCCAAATGCTCCCCCCCTCGAATACCCTCACGGTGGCTCCCTCACTTTGTTAAGGTTCTATTCCTGAACAAGGTGAGTATCTTCCCATTGAGAAACTTTCACTGACCACCAGTCTAAAAGAGCAGCTCTCCCCTCTTCTATCTCTTTGCCCTGCTCTGCTTTTCTTCTGAGGACCCATCACCACTTGACAATATATTACATACGTGTATCTTTTGAGATTCTTTCTCTCTTGCTGGCACATAAACTCCATGGGGGCAGGGACTTCGATGCCTCATTTCTTGCTGTGTCCCCAGAGTTCACACGACGCCGTTAACATGGTAGACAGTCAATACTCGTGAGCTGAGTTAATGAGGGGTGGTTGTATCAAGGAAGGCTGCTCCGAGCTAAGAGTCGAAGAAAGAAGGGTGGGGAGAATGTCCAGGGCAGCAGAAGAGCGTGTGCACAGGCCAGCTGCCTAGTGGTGGGGCTGTGGCATAGACAGGGCCCTTGGAAAGGCTGGTGTGGCCCCAGTATGCTGTGAGCCACAGCTGAGAAGGTCTGCGGTGGCCTTCGCAGGGCCTGAGGCCCGGGGAGGGTGTGGGCCTTGAGCTTGTGAAGGCGAGGCTTTAAGCAGGGGAGCAGTGTGGGCAGACAGGCTTTAAACAGATTCTGTAATGGCCTCCTTGAGAGCACCCGGTGCCCCTGTGCCCCATACCACAGCACATGAATCCCCCCCAGCCAGGGACCCTCAGGAGAGCAAACTCAGGAAGGAGAGGATGACGGTGGAAGGAGATGGCAGAGCCTTCCCCAGAGTCCAGGATTCCCAGCAGTGACAGGCAGCTTTGGAGTATCACGAAAGAGAACATATCCTAGTTCCACTTGACAGTAAGACTGAGAAACAGCAGCAGGCAGGGTCTCCTGTCACAGCTTCTAGCCATCACCATGGGACGAGTCCTCCAGAAGACCATCATGTAGACGATGGGGCAGGGCACAAGCAACTTACAAGTAGCGTGCTTGGGGCCTTGGTAGCCACCGTAGGGGGCTCCCTAGATTTTTGAGCAGGGAGAAGGAAACTTGGAAGAGTGCATTCTGAGGCTCCCTTGGGGGGTTGCACTCAGGACTGTCCTCCCCCATGATTCCATGCCAGGACTCTGAGCACAGACATAGTATTGCCTGTCTCCAGATAATGGAGCTACCAGGCACACACAGACTCCGGGGGCCTGAGGTTCCTCCCTTTTCTTCTGTAGCCACAGAAGCTAGAAGGCCCCTAGCACTCTCTGAGATTCTTCCTCCCACCGTTCCCTAGCTGCAGAGGGATGAGACCAACCTTCAGAAGAGAAGCGGGGCCTCTGATTTCCCCTTAGCCACGAGCAACCCTGACTTCCTGTTTCTTTTTTTATTTCTGCCTCAGATATTCTCCCAGGAGTACATCAACCTCTTGCTGTCCATGTATTTCTTCGTGCTGGGGATCCTGGCCCTGTCCCACACCATCAGGTCAGAAGGCATCTCTGCAACATTTGAAGCAGCTTTCTCAGGAGCCAGTACAGGGTCCTGGATGAGAACATGACCTTTGGCGTCATTCAGAGCCAGGTTTGAATCCTGGCTGTACAACCCAAGGGCTTCTTTCCCCTGCAGTACAGCGTGGGTGAGCTAGAACAAGACCTGTAACCTCTGTGGCACAGTCCCCTCCCAGGGACTGACAAGAGTATCCAGGGGATGTTTCCCACCACCACAGTTGTTGGGAAGGTTAATCACATCATAGTACCGGGATGTCACTTGTCACGGTGCTGAGACGGGTAACAGCAACGCCACTTGCCAGGTGTTATAGGCTGCTGGCATCTCGTGGTAAGCCCGGCTTCTCACGCGTGATCTTGTTTCCTGCTGAGAGAGGGGCAGTAGAGTGAGAAGTTAGGAGTACAGCCTCTGGAATTTGATTACCTGAATTTGAATCCAGACTCTGCTACTTAATAGCCCTGTGACTTGGGGCAAGTCACTTAATCTCTCTGGCCTCAATTTCCTCAGCCGAATGTGGAGGGAAATAACCGAACCTTCCTCGTGGGTCATGGGAAAGCTTTTAGCCCAGTATCTGACACCTAATGTGTCCAATAACTATTAACTGTCGTCGTTGCTATTACTTCCTGTGCTAACCTGCCAGGTAACTTACAAGGTTAGCTTTTGCATTTATTTATTTATTTATTTATTTATTTGAGAGAGAGAGAGACAGAGACAGACAGAGACAGACAGCAAGAGAGGGAACACAAGCAGGGGGAGTGTGAGAAAGAGAAGCGATTTCCCGCTGAGCAGGGAGCCCGATGCAGGGCTCGATCCCAGGACCCCGGGATTATGACCCCAGCCAAAGGCAGACACTTAATGACTGAGCCACCCAGGCGCCCTTAGCTTTTGCTTTAAATCTTCTGTTATCTTTGGAAACTGAAGCTCAAAGAGATTAAGGAATTTGTCAAGATCGCACAATGGATAAGCAGCAGAGCCAAGATTCAAACCCAGGTCTGAGTGGCTCCAGAGCCATGTTCCCATTGCCACCTGCTCAGACAGGCACATGCTGTGTCTGTCCAGCGGGGATGAAGGACCTAGGCTGGGACCCTGAAGGAGTGCTGCTCTTCTGTCATGGACAGGCCAATTCTCCGTGTGTTGTAAACATTTGGCATTCCCTAGCCCTGTTTACTAAATGAGAGTTATGTCCCCAGCCTTCCCCCTAACTTGTGACTACAAAAGTTTCCCCGCCTGTTTCCATCTGGTCCCTTCAGGTAGATACAGTGTTGAGTTGAGAACCACTGACCATAAGGTGGCCAGTAGACTATGGAGGTTCCCAGAAGGAAGGAATGCAGCTAAAAGTCAGCCTTGAAGGGTGGGAAACCTGGAAGAGGCATGAAGGAGAGGGGAAAGCTAGGAGTAGAAGATCTGTGCACAGTGAAAGCGCATTCGGGATCTTTCTGCAGTAGTCAGATAGGAAGCGCCGGGCCTGTTCACAAAAGGCATCAAAAGCCAGTTGGATTTGACCTTATTTCCCTAGGCACACTGGCAGGACATTGTGGTACTCAAGAGCGTGGGTTCAGGAGATGTTGGCCCTGGAACCGAGTCCTAGCTCTGCCAGCTCGACAATTTGTGTAAGCTTCTCAAGGCCTCTGAGCATCATTTCCTATAAAACGGAGACACTTAAAAAAAAAAACAAAAAACAAAAACGGAGACACTGCAAGCACCTCCTCACTGGGGCGTGGGAAGGATCAGGTGAGCCACGACTATAACATGGCTCAAGCACTGTACCAAGTGCGCCATGAGTTGTGTTTCTGGTCCAAGATCATACAGCTGGGACTGGAATTCTGGTCTTTTGACTGAGCTCAGTGTTGTCTTCAACTTTACCTGCCCTTTCCCCATACAGTCTTGTTCTGGCCATCTGATAAGAATTTTAGTCCAGCCCCCGTCCTAAAAAATGAAGGCCTAGAGAACCTACCTGAGTGACTTGGACCTCACAAAACCGTGGCAGACCCAACCTCACAGGGCAGAGCTCTCTGACGGATCTGGGGGACAGTGGGGGCAGTCGCTTCCAAGCACTGGGACCCATCCTTCCCCATGCTGATTAGGGTCCCCCTAATTCTCATCCATCCCACCCCTTCATCTGTGAGAGGCTTGAGATTCCCTGGCCTCCCTGTGACCCAACCACGACCTCAGAGAACCCAGTGTATTTTACCTGTCTTTTTAAACTAATTCATAATTTTGACTGGTAGAAATTATTTTTTTATTTAAATTTTTTTAAAAGATTTTATTTATTTATTTGACAGAGATCACAAGTAGGCAGAGAGGCAGAGAGAGAGAGAGGAGGAAGCAGGCTCCCCACAGAGCAGAGAGTCCGATGCGGGGCTCAATCCCAGGACCCTGAGATCACGATGTGAGCCAAAGGCAGAGGCTTTAACCCACTGAGCCACCCAGGCGCCCCGACTGGTAGAAATTATTGACAGAGAACCAATAGCAACTGAAACTGCACATGGTAAAATAGATTAGTGACTAAAACTTAACAGAAGAATCTTCTCGATGAAATTTATAGCACAATATTTGACCTGGCAAAATCAGACCTCATAAACACAACCGGTAACCATGGGCAGGAGCGGCACTCACCACACAGCATCAGAGCTGTCCTGTGAAAAATTTCATACAGACCAAAAACGGTGGGATGAGAGAAATTGTTTTGAAAAATTTACATGGAGAAAAACTGAATCAGATGCACATAATTTGAGCAAAAAGGGAGGAAAGCATAATTTAATCATGTTATATGGAAAGCTAAGCCAAAAACATTTTTCTTTTTCAGTCAGATTGAGTTTTCTGAAATACTTTCTCAACGAAAGTCTACAGTATAGTTAGAATTTCTATGAGCTGTTTATATTCACAAACTTGGAGGCAGACGTCCGTCAGGATCCAAACCAGAGGGTCCGAAGGTGGGGTTCAGGGAAGGTGAGGCCCTGAGGGGTTGTGTAACCACCAGGATTCATGGCTGGTTGAGGCAGGGGGTTTGAGCCCAGGTCTGTCTGACTTCAAGGCCCATATTCTTCCCAGTTTGGCAGGAGTGAGGGGGAAACAGATTATAGAGGGTGGGCTGGCCACTGCTTCCCAGCAATCCTTCGGTCCCCAGAGGACTGGGGGAACAGACCTGACGAGGGACTGGAAGAGCCTGGCCCCCAGCCGAGTCAGCCCCTGGTGGGGATTCTCGTGGATCTTTCCACCCCTGCTGCCACCCCCCAGCCTGCCGCCTGCCTTCACCTTGTGCAGCCACCAAGATTTACAAGCCCATGCCAGAAGCCTTCCTGCCAAGGGAACCTCAGCTTATTTTTATCATCTCTGAGCTCATACCCCATCCAGCTGACCTTTAGGGGAAAAGGACCCATAAGGTCAAAATCTACCACCCTAGGAAGAAAAGGTCAGTTTTATCGACCCTTGCTTTCCACTCCCAGGGGAGAAGGACACCAGGATGTGGTTTCCCAGCAGGAAGCAGTGACCTTTAGGTTTGATGTGAGCCGTGAGGGCTGGAGAGAGTCTCTGCCTGCTGCAGAGGTCTGCCTTCAGAGGCGCTCCGTGAGCATTTACCAGCTGCTGCCCAGGCCCCAGGCCTGCCGTGGGTGGGGGAAGGTGGTGAGACGGGCCCCCACTCTCAAGTTCAGGCTCACCGGCCAGGTTGCTTGACTCTTGCCCTGCATTATCCAGCGACCCTTCTTTGCTCGGGATAACCAAGTCACCAGTCTGGAGAGTTCTTCCCTGAAGTCAGAGCGGTAGTTAAGCTTACAGGCTGCCAAGCATTCATTTAATCATCTTAATAACTAAGAGGAAGATCTTATCGTAGTGTTCCAAATGAGGAAACAGTTGCACAGAACAGTTAAGTAACTTTCCGAAGATCACACAGCTAATCAGTGGCAGAGTCAGGATTTGAATCCACGAAGTCTGGCTCCGGAGCCACTGCGCTCTGCTGGTTCAGAAGTGAAACATCAAGCTCCTAAGGAAGAGGCCGGTCTGCAGTGAAGGCCTTAGCTCCTCGGGCCTTAGCTCCTCGGGCCTTTTCTCTGTCTCTGCCCACACGCTCTGGCTTCAGGATCTCCCAGAAGTGATTCAGCAAACTGAGCTGAAGGTAGCTTCCAGCATCATCTCTCCCAGCTTCTGCCCCCCACTTCTCAGAGCCCTCCTGTGGAAGCCCACTCCTGGTTGCATACCTGTGCCCGCCACATTTGGGTTCAAAGGGCTCTCTTGTTTGTGCCAGAGCCCTGCAGACGGGGAACCTGCTTGACAAGTGGGGAAACAGGCCCTGAAATAGTTCTTAGCTCCACATCTTCTTTCTCCAACCACCAGGGTCTTAGAAAGGGAGCTTTCTTTCCCTGCCTTTCTGCTGTGCCCTGGGTACCTCTTGGCCTACCAGTTTACCTGGGCCTATCGTTTACCTACCAGTTGGGAGCACCATTCTGGATTTGCCACCTCATCGGTCACTGTCAGGCTGATCCAGTGTTGCCAAATGCTTTTGAGCTCAGGCTCTGGACAAGTGCCAGCATTGACGGACGCTCAGAGTTCTTATTTACATCCCTGTTGTGGGTCCAGAGTTGGGCTAAGCCTCTCCCCTGCCTTCTCGCTTACCTTCACAGCAACGGTTTGAGACAAGTGATATTGTTACTCCCACGTAGAGCTAAGGAGATGAGCCACTGCGGTGACTCGCCCACAGCCACACCGCTAGCATATGGCGGGGTAGTCTTCTGGGCTGAGCTGCACCCAGGGCCAGGTTGGGCCTGGAGGCCCTAATTTGTTCATCTTTGTCTGAAAATGATCCAGAAAAGAAAGTTTCTGTTCCCTGCCTGGCCAAGGCACAGAGTACACCGGGTGATCTGAGACCATTTTCCAGAGATGAGGCTAGCCCATCCTGAGCAGCGGAGCCTCTTGGAAGGAGTGGATGTGAGGCGCTCCTCCACCTCGGGGCTGTGATTCATCGAGCTGATTGAGTCCAGCTGAGTTTATAAAACACTCAGGCCTGACGAGTCATGGAGTGGGGGGTAGACAGTAACCATCAGATCATCTGACTTGATAGGTGTGGAAGAGTCGAGGAATATGCATTCTTGACAAGGGACTCACAGAGCGTGCTCGGACCAGACTCTGGCATCCGTTCCTGTTCTAAAGCTGCATTTTACATGGAAGTCTGGCCCAGATTTGTGTTTCTTGGACGAGAACCAAGAGGCAGCGTGGGAGCACTAGGATTCCAGAGACCTGTGTTTGAGTCCCTGCTTAGATGGGGAGTCAGCCCTGGGCAGTCCCTTACTCTCTCAGGGCTTCCATTTCCATCTGTGAAATAGGGCTGGTAACTCCTCCCCATCAAGAGGACTCCCCGTCAGGGCAGCTGCGAGGGTGCCGGGAGGAAGGACCTGTGAATGGGCACTTCTGGGATGGTGTTGGGGCTGCGATAGCCCGTGGGGGTCCTGTTTGCCAACCTGCTTTGTCTTTCCTTCCAGCCCCTTCATGAATAAGTTTTTTCCAGCCAACTTTCCAAATCGACAGTACCAGCTGCTCTTCACACAGGGCTCTGGGGAGAATAAGGAAGGTCAGTGCCGCCTGCTTTCCCTGGCCTTGGGGTTCACTCACCTCTCTTCCCCTTTGTCTCCAATATCAGGGTTCTCCACTAGAGCAAGGGATGGAAAAGGTGGGCTCTGCAGTCACATTGCCTGGGTGGGAACCCAGCTCTGCTGCTGCCTACACGGGGGGCTCTGAATGCCTTTACCTCTCTGAGTTGTTGTGTTTGTTCCAGCTGTAAAATGAAAACGATACATCTGGTACCTCCCTCACAGCATGTTGTTAGGACTGGGGGTCAGTGATGAGGGGCGCACTCAGCACACGGCCTGGCCCGCGGCAGCACGCGGTGATGTTGGCCGGCATAGCAACTTGTATCATACCTGTATGTAATGTGATGACTCTTACCTGAGACCTGGAACAGGGCTTGTTTGTTTGTTTGTTTGTTTGTTTGTTTAAAAAAATGAAAACTCTGGGACCTTGGGAAAAGCCTGGGCTTTGGGGGTTGGTTCGGATAGGAGTGCTGGTGCTATAACACGATTGGCGAGGGCTTGACCAAATGAAAAGTATTTCTTGCATCAAAGTCTGAGCTTGGGAATGTCACTCTCTCTTACGGGTGCCTGCCACATTCTGCCTTATTCCCAGAGAGGGGTGACTTTAAGTCATTCCTTTTCGCATCTCAAATGCATCTGTGCCTAAGAGATGATTGTTGAACTTAAAAAAAAAAAAAAAAACTAAGCTTGCACCACAGAGTCTTTGAGGTCCAAGGCTCCATCTGTCTTGTGCTCTGTCACATTCGGGTGACTCTTGGGCCCAGAATGGTGTACTGTCACCATATCATGGGTCCGTTTAGCTATAGGGCACGTCAGAAGATGTGGCCATGAGCCGATTGGCTTCACATCCAGTTAAAAATCACCAAGGTGATTCCTGAAAATAATACTATACTAGGTTAACTAACTTGCATTAAAAACCAAAAAAAAATTCCCCAGGATGCCATCACCAGAGAAGAGAGAACAAAAATTGGGGCCAACCAGCAGTCCATTCCACTCTGGAATCTGAAAGAAGTGGCTGCGCTCTCTCACCCTGGGCAAGCCCCACCACCTTCCTGGGCTTCCTCACTGGGAAACTTGGAAGTGATAGGGAATGTCTGCCTCAGGGCCCCCCTCAGGAGAACACAGGGGCTCTCTCCTGCTTTCTCTCCAGGGCTCCAACTGTCACCTTCTTCCTCTTCCTCTTTTGCTGGTGATGTAGGGCTGCCAGCAACCTTCTTGCTTTCCTTTGATGGCAAAGTAGGAAGATTCCCGAATGGACTGGGACCTAGCTAAAGACCTGGGTAGCAGCTGGCATTGACCGAGCACCCACTGTGTGCCAGGCACTGTGCTGAGTGTTTCGTGAGGACCACTTCCCTTGCTCCCCAGAGCAGCCCTGTGGGGGAGGTGCCGCAGTCCCCTTTTTACAGAGGAGGAGACTGAAGCTCAGAGAGGGACCTGCCTCCCCCAAGGTCACCCAGCTACAAATGCAGAGTCCGTGCTTCTGACACCACGGACCACCTCCCACTGACCCCGCACCAGGCCTGTGTTCTCTCTGGGCCTCCAGGCCCTCCTCTAGGAAATCGGGGCGGGAAGGGGTTGCTGGGGAGGCTCTGACAGTGCCCACAGCCATGCCCTCCTCCGTCCAGGGGCTGACAGGTGGGAGGGGCAGCCCCGCCCCGGGGAGTGGACTTACCCGGCCTCTCTGCCCAGAGATCATCAATTATGAGTTTGACGCCAAGGACCTGGTATGCCTGGGCCTGAGCAGCATCGTTGGCGTCTGGTACCTGCTGAGGAAGGTAAGGAGCCAGGGCCTGGGGCAGGATGAGGGGAGCATGAGAGAGGACGCGGGGGCAGGGTAGACAGACAGCCGATCTCACTCCCGCCTTTCCCCAGCACTGGATTGCCAACAATCTCTTTGGCCTGGCCTTCTCCCTTAACGGGGTGGAGCTCTTGCACCTGAACAACGTCAGCACCGGCTGCATCCTGCTGGGTGGACTCTTCATCTACGATGTCTTCTGGGTGAGTGGAGCTGGGGCACAAAGGGCCCCTTGCCAGGCTCCTGGGTGGCTCAGTTGGTTAAGCATCTGCCTTCGGCCCAGGTCGTGATCTCAGGGTCCTGGGATCGAGCCCCACATCAGGCTCCCTGCTCAGTGGGGAGTCTTCTTCCTCTGTGCTCTCTCTCCCTCTCTCAAATAAATAAGTAAATTTTTTTTAAGGGGGTTTGCTTGCCTCCTCTGTCCCTGTCTTGAGGCAGTCATCTGATGGAAGGCGGCTGCCTCAGCCTGGAAATTAAGACCCTAGAGCAGGTCTTCTCTGGGCCCATTTGCCCTCATCTGTGAAACAAATGAGAGAGCAGATTCCCCACATGGCTGAGAGCCCACCCTGTGCCCCAGGCCTTCTAGCCACCCTCACTTCTTCTCCCAGTGGTCCTGGCAGAGCTGTTCCTTTCCTCTTTCTTTCTGGCAAGCAAGTTGGGACCCAGAGAAGTTGAGGCAGAGGAGGTTAATACTGGTGAATGGGCCCAGTGCGGGCACCAGTCTGAGGACAGAGGCTGCTGGGGGGCAGCACATTCTGGCACACACTGGCCCCTCACATGCCACGCTCACTCCCAACAGGCATCACTGAGGGATCAAGGGCAGCCTGACTTCGGCACCTTTCCCTGGCCTCAGGCAGCCTCTTTCCCCCTTAAGTGGGTGGTGCTGGAGGACTTCATCTTCTAGGAGGAGCAGAGCCCTGAACATACAGGAGACCTAGCCTGGGCCATCAAAGGCCCTTTCACAGCTCCTTCAAATTGCCCTGTTTATTGCCCAGAACCAGGAGTCCCACGAGGTATCCCTATGACCAAAATCAGTAGCCACCTAATCTCGGGTTCACATCTAATCTGGAGCACCTCATCACTCCCTACCCCTCTCCCTGTGGGTCTCAGGCAGCATTGTGTCATGACGGGGGCACATGGGTGGCTCAGTCAGTTAACCATCTGACTCTTAGTTTCGGCTCAGGTCATAATCTCAGGGCCTTGAGATCGAGCCCTACATCAGGCTCTGAGCTGAGAAAGGAGTCTCCTGGAGTTTCTCTCTCTCTCTCCCTCCCTCTGCCCATCCACACGTGCTCTCCCTCTCTCTTTCTCTAAAATAAGTCTTTAAAAAAAGAGAGCGGGGGGTGGGCACCTGGGTGGCTCAATGGGTTAAGCCTCTCCCTTCAGCTCAGGTCATGATCTCAGGGTCCTGGGATGGAGCCCCACATCGGGCTCTCTGCTCAGCGGGGAGCCTGCTTCCTCCTCTCTCTCTGCCTGCCTCTCTGCCTACTTGTGATCTGTGTCTGTCAAATAAATAAATAAAAATCTTTAAAAAATAAGATTAAAAAAAAGAAAAGAAAAGGAGTTCCTAGGACAGTGTTCCTTTCCCGTCTGGCCCTCACCTCCCTCCAGACTCCTGTCTTCTCCTCCTAGGTATTTGGCACCAACGTGATGGTGACGGTGGCCAAGTCCTTTGAGGCACCAATAAAATGTAAGTGACCACATCCACCGTGGGGAGCCCCTCTCTTTCCACCTCATGGCCCTTCCCCCCTCATGGTCCCTGTTTTGGTCCATACCTCTCCCTTGGCTCTTCCACATGCATCTCTTCCTTCTCCACGCTGTCCTGTGTCTCCAGCCTGGTTTCTGTCCCCTTTTGATTCATCTGGCTGTGTTCACACACAGCCATACTCTGCCCAGGCCCTGGCGTCCTGCCGCTTGGCCCCAGTGTGTGATGGGAGAAGACAGCAGGGCTGTCTAACAGGGCCTGCAGCGGGGCCCGTGGGGGCTCTCCAGGAAAGGAGGTTCCACACTAAGGCCCAAAGCCGCTCACTGGGCGCGCTAGCCAGCACGGTCTGTCCCGCACCCCTCACACGGCTCCGGTTTTATTCTTCCATGTAGCTACCCGTTGTTTATAAAGATGAGAAAATCCAGTGATGGGCATCTAGGCATCAGTAAGCAGTGCAGAAGTGTCATCCCTCTCTGTAGCAGGCCTGCGGCACAGCGTCTCAGCCGTGCATTACCGACCCTCAGCAAGTGCAGTCACCAAGAGCTGGCTGGCTTCAGCTTCCATCTTCAGGGGCGGCCACCTGTCCCTGCAGCTCATTGCCTCATGGTCCCAAGCTAGCTGCCACAGCTCCTAGTACTGACTCCTCACTCAGCCATGCCCAGAGGCAGAGAGAAGGAACTTCATGCCTCAGTAGAGAAGGAGTTTTCCCCCACAGGCCCAAACCCAAACTGGTATTGGGGGCGGCGGGGGAGGAAGCATGATCAGGTTTGAGTTTAAGGCTCAGAACACTCAAGGGTTCTCTCCTGGGATTACGAGACCCAAAGAAGAGGATGGAATGAGTCAGGCTGATAGCAAGAAATAAGGGGAGAGTCTTGTTGGCAAGGCTTTGGTCTTGGGAAGTGAGCACCATGGGCACTGGGCAGCCAGGGTGAAGCTGGCCTCAGAGGATTGAGAGTGAGCTATTGTCCTCAAAGTCTTGCTGCTGCTACAGATGGGCCTCCGTGAGCTGGACAGACACTCCTGGATGCACACTGCTCCCAGGTACGATGATGGTCCCAGCTCAGTGACTGGAGGGAAACAAGTTTCTGCCAGCTTTGGTTTGAATAAACCAATGGGCCCATGAGCCAGGCCCTCCTGCTGGGGAGACGGAGGATCACAATGGACAGGCCTGGGTCACGGCCCTCCTCAGTGTCTGGGAGCAGAGTATTTGAGTTGGCAGCCCCCCAGAACCAGGGGTGTAAAAGCAAGGCTGTTCTGTGGCAGGAGAACAGGTGCTGGGCCAGCCAGGGCGGCCCCTGGTCCCCACGTGTCATGATAGATGAAGCCAGCCCAGGTGCCAGAAAAGCTTTCATGAAGGATAAAGAACACTTGTTCACCAAGGAGGCAGGGGCAGCGCAGGCCTTTGAAAGAGCAAACAGGGCTTCAGCGAAGGGCAGAGGCAGGGAAATGCACGGAGGGCCCTGGGAGCAGAGGATTGGGGAGGGAACGTGGCTGAGTTTAGGAGAGCAGCAGAAAAGAGGCCGGATTTGGGAAGCCAAGAGTATCATTCTAGGAAGCCTGGACTGCCCAGGGGGCAGTGAATGAGCCATTGGAAGGCTCTGAAGAGGGCAGTGACACCGTCAAACTTGGGTTCTGGCATGGGGAGAAGGCCCATTGCCCTCAACTGCTAGGCGTGGTGCTCAAGCAGGATAGCAGAGTGCTTAAGCTGGGCTGCCTGGATTGGAATCTCAGATAGGACACTAGCTGGTTGGGTGGCCTTAGGCAAGATCTTCATTCACCTCTCTGGGCCCTGGTTTTCACATCCACCTCTTAGAATTGAATGGTACGAGGACTGGGAAGATCGAAGGCGGGGATCTGTAAATCACAGTGACTGGGCACTCAGGGCAGGAAGAAGTAGGTGGGGAAGGGCATCTGTGTGTTCATTAGGGAGGCACAGGCTCACCTAGAACCCCCTGCATACCTCTGCTTACGTATCCTTGGCCAGAGCTGGGTCATGTGGCCACCCCTAGCTGGAAGGGAAGTCGGGAATTCAGGGGCCAGGGTTGTCCAGATTGCCCCAGTCTTGTCCCATTCCCTGGGAAGGCTGCTGCACCCCAAGTCAGAACTGGGTTGATAAAGAAGGCATGGGGTGACAGTTAACAATGTGTGCAAATCATCTTGATTTTCACAATTCTTTGGGGGTCAGTTCTCTTGTACCCATTCACAGGTAAGAAAACTGAGGCACAGAGCAGCTAAGTAACCTGTGCAAAGTCACAGAGCAGAGCCAAGATTCAGACCTATGCAGTCTCACCTTGGAGCCTGCACCTAAGTGCTCTTCTGCTCACAGGTGCTATGGAGGGGCGCCTGGACGGCTCCACCTCCCTGCTCTCCCTTGTGTTCTCTAGCTCTCTTTCTCAAATAAATATTAAAAAGAAAAAACAGCAAGGCGCTATGGATGAGATCCAGTTCCACCACCTCTTGCCATTAACCAGGCACAGAGGAGGCATCTCTATCCATCCATCCATCCCTTTGCCGCAGAGCAAGGCCACCACCTGTCCCCACCCTCACCGGAATGAGATGGAAAGCCAAGTAGATGTCAGCACTGTGTGGGCTTTTTGGTCTCTTTCATCCGTGTGGCTTTAGAGTCAATCCCACATCACCAAAGGCTCCCATAGCTACCAAAGAGCACTGGAGTGGTGTGTTGTGTGAGTCCTAGCGCCATAAAGGCAGGCAGCGTTTGATCTAGGTGACCCTAGATTCGTCCCCCTCTAACCTACTGTGGTTCCAGGTGGAGACTTTGCCCTTCAGCCTGTCCCTGTCCTCTTGCCTCCATGCTCGCCCATCTTTAAATGCAGGTGTGTGCGTTTCATGCAACAGAGGTGGGGGGATAGACTGACTGAATTTGCCTCTCACCAGTTCCTCGCATCCCTGCCTCCCCCCACAGTGGTGTTTCCCCAGGACCTGCTGGAGAAGGGCCTCGAAGCGGACAACTTTGCCATGCTGGGACTCGGAGATATCGTCATTCCGGGTGAGCTGGCCGGGGTGGGTGCCCCAGTGCGAGTGCTGGAAGGACCTGAGAGGGGGAGTATTGCGATGCAGCATCACCACTGGGAGTGGGGAAGCGACGGAGATTCCAGACACCCAGCCCCGTGTCAGCCCATGGTCGAGCACCAGTCACATGCCAGGTGCTGAGCCGGGCAGCTGGGGCGGCGGGGTGGGTGGCGGGGGCGCGGGAGGACAGCAGTGAGCAAGACTGTCTTCACAGAGCTTCTGGTCTGACTGCATAGTCCTTACTCCAGAACAGCTAAAAGAAGTGTCTGTGACAGACTGAAGTACATTCTGTGAGAAGCGCATCTCATGAGGCTTCACGCACGTGCCTGCCCCTTGCCAGTGTTTCTGAGTAGGACCTATCCGCTGGGACTGCCACTGTCCCCAGGGTCCTCCTCCCCCGGTCCCAGGGACAGCGTGCCTGTGTGCACGGACGCGGGGCACCACGAGCGGGCACTCCTGTCCTCTCGGCAAAGGGCTTGTCCACGGGAGCAGACCGCAGAGCCGTCCACATGTGGGTGCTCGTCGGTGCACCTGGGTTCCGGGCACACAGCCCTGGGGGCCCACAGCCTGGCCTGACCCTGGGGCAGCCTCAGCTGCCAGCCCAAAGCTTCGGGGCAAAGCCGAGCTCCTGCTCTGCGGGCCACTGCCGTGGCTGATCCAGGATGTGTGTCTCTGTAGATCCGGGCCTGGTGGCAGGTATCCGAAGGACACACTTGTTCCTGTAGTCCAGAGGCTCAGAGTCCAAGGACGAGAAGCACCCCTGGTGCTTGCTTAAAAAAAGAAAGTGCAGAGCAAATGAAAAGCCAACCTATGTTTCACTCTAAGAAACGATGGCAGTTCTAATATTCTGGGATGGTGGCACAGCCACTTCCCTTGCGACACTTTGGTGTTGTGTGGCCGTAAGGAGAGGTGATCTCTTACCAGCGAGGAAACAGGCCCGGAAGTAAAGGGACTTTCATAGCTTCATGCACTAGCAAGGCCCGAGCCCAGGTCACCCATCTGCAGAAAAAGCCTCCCCTGTTAGGAATGGCCCGTAACAGCAATGGCAGCAGTAGGCAGGTGGTCGCCGCAGCTGGGCGCCCACCCCCGGGCCAGCTGCTTCTCCTACATTGTTGATTTGCTGCTCCTCGAAGCCCAGTGAGGTAAAGGTATTTCCATTTTACAGATGAGCTAACTGAGGCTCAAAAAGACTTGCTCAAGTTCCTGGGCATGTGGGGAGATGGTCTTGAACCCAAGACTCTCCATAACTAAATCACAGGGCTGTGAGGCCGGGGCAGGGCGGGTGCGCAGCTCCGTCGGGCAGAAGAAGTCGAGTCCTGGAAAGCAGCCAGCTCACTGTGCGGGGCGTGGGCTGCACCAGGCACCCCTCAGCTTCCCCAGTATCCTGGGTGGTCATGGTTCTGGACTTGGGGTGTGCACAGGACACCCCTGCGTGTACCTACGTATCTAAGTCTTCCAGTGATTTCAGTAGCTGAAAGTCGACTGCACCCTCGCAGCGCCCCAGTGGCACCCCTTAAAGAATGGGCTGCCCCAGAGCGCTGCTCTGAGGACCAGGTGCCTGACAGGCGGTAAAGGCTCTGAGTTGGAGACCAGTTGTAGAATTCGTCCGCCAGGGGGATGCTGAGTCCCCAGCTTTGTTTTCAGAAAGGTGGCATTTGTCTTCCCTCTCCAGCCACCCACTCCCTCCTCACACACAGTCCCCAGGTCTCTGGGGGAGACTCCCTCACTTCCCGACTGAACATCAGTCATCTGCTGAGGCGCCGGGCTGGCTCAGTGGAGCGTGCAACTCTTGATCTCGCGGTTGTAGGTTCGAGCTCCACATTGGGTATACAGCTTGCTTAGGGATAGAATCTTTCAAAATAAATAAATAATAAAATAAAGGAAGTCCTGGGACGCCTGGGTGGCTCAGTTGGTTAAGCAGCTGCCTTCGGCTCAGGTCATGATCCCAGCGTCCTGGGATCGAGTCCCACATCGGGCTCCTTGCTTGGCGGGGAGCCTGCTTCTCCCTCTGCCTGCCATTCTGTCTGCCTGTGCTTGCTCTCTCTCCCTCTCTCTCTGACAAATAAAAAAAAAAATAAAAAAAAAAAAAAAAAAAAAAATAAAGGAAGTCCTACGCTGCCAGTCAGTGCTTCTGATCAGCTCAGCCCTTGCCCTGTCTGAGCCCTGAGACCAGCAGGGAGACAGACACAGACAGTCATCGTATGTGAGTAGCAGACAGAGGCTGGCCCGGCCAGCTGTGTCTTGGAGAGTCTTGGGCTTTTGGGGTGTCTGGGCTGGGGTTGGAAGTGCCAGTAGGGGTGCAGTGGGTGGGCAGAATGAGTCATCCTCCCCCGCCCTCCCGCAGAGCCTCCTGATGGTCTGCTTGCCCCTCCTCCGCCCTCCAACTAAGCAGTTGCCACGAGGCCTGTTCCCAGAATCTGTTTAGGTTGTTCCCCTGCTCGGAATTCTTCCATGTGTTCCCTCACTCAGGGAAGAAACCCATTTCCTCCTTGTGCCCCACGGCCCCACTTGGCTGGTCCATCCCCTGCATCTCCTTCCTGGCTCTTTGACCCATGCTACACCCTAACCCCTCTTCCCTCAGGACCTTTGCATGTGCTGTTCCCTCTCCCTGGCAAGCGTCACTTCCTTAAAGAAGCCCTTCTTCCTCTTCCCCCCAACATCCCCTCGCCTGCCAGGTATCCCCAGATATACCTACCCATGACATAGAAAGCACCCTTTCACAGTTAGGATCTCAGAGTGAATTTTGTTCCTGTTGGATTGCCATGTCCACCTCCTGTCACGTTGGTTGAGTTCTGTGGGTGCAGTGATTTTGCTTCCTGTTGTCTCCAGGGCCTGGTACTTAGAAGGCCTCCATAAACATTTGGGTAGATGGGCCCAGTGTGACACAGTAGAGTGCTATGAGGTCAGTGTAGTCCCAGACCAAAGCTAACTCCTGGGACCTTCTTATTGTTCTGAGGAGGCCTGATGGTAGACAGGATTTCTGCTGGCGGTCGGCAGTGTTGGCCCCAGTGACTTCTCCATGACTGGGAACACCAGGTTGAGTGTTCGTTCACTACCCCACTCCTCCCCCCTCCTCCCCATCCCAGGCGGGAGACTCCATTCCCAGGCCTTCCCAAGGTGCTGGCTTCCCTGCCACTAACCCTGGCTCTCTGCCCACAGGGATCTTCATTGCCTTGCTGCTACGGTTTGACATCAGGTAAGCTACTTGGAAACTCTAGCCCTCAAGCTCCATGAGTGGGGGGTCTTCCCTGGGCAGGGTACCCCAGGGGCTCCTTGGTGGCTTTCAGGAGCCTAGAAGAGGTGACCTCTGATCAGACCTTCTGCCGCCGCAGTGGCCGGTGCGATTCTGATTTATCTGCACTTTGACGTACTGAGTGTTCAAAGACCCTGTGGCCAAAAAGAAAAAAAGGATCATATTCCCAATGGATTTAAACCCAGAAGGTCCTAGTGGTACTCACAGTGCTTTCTCACTGTGTGACCTTGGCAAGTGATCTGACCTTTCTGGGCTAAGGTTTCTCATTCTTAACTCTTGTGGTAAACAAGAGCTCAGACCTTGGCATTACCAGGAAAACCTGGAGGGAGCCCTGAGCACAGGGCCACAGGGAGACCCAGCTGCAGTCTAGTCGTCATCATGCATTATCAGCCCAGGCTCAGGTCACTGTGTCCCAGCTTCTCTGGCTGCTCCCTGCGTGCTCCCCTCACTCAGATTTTTTTTGGAGTCCACTGTGGAAACTGAGCACGGAGCGGTAAGGGGGCCAACTCGAGTCACCACTTCCAACAGGAAAGGTTGCACTGTTAATGCAGTTGGGCGTGCCACCAGTAGGTGGCGCGGTCTTCCCAGTGGAAGGTTCACAGTATGTGCACTGAATTTCAAGGTGGTTTGTGAACTTTATTCTTAATCTCCTTGTGCCTCATAATTGCAAAAGCAGTAATAGTGTTGACAGTGGTAGCAAGAAACTGTACCAGTGTCTCTGAAATCGGGTTTGTCTGTGAAACTTGCCTCTGCTTACGTCCACGGGCTTAGCCTTTGGGAGGGACCCGGCCAATCAGTAAAGGAGGCACGTCTGTGCCAGCCAGCTGTACTTCTGGCTGTGCAGAGGTGACGCAAAGAGAACCCACGAGCGTCCCTGGGCCACTGGCTAGCGACACAAAGTCACGTTTGGCTGCCAGCACCCTCAGAAGCAGAACCTCATTCCTAGCCTGGATGGGCAGGATTGGCCAGCCTTTCCAAGCTGGTTCTGGAATCTGTGCCGCATGCCCACTGTGGTCGGCTTCACCCCAGGCTCCACGGCAGCAGAACTCCCAGTGCGCCCGCAGCTCCGGGCTCAGTGGCAGCTGGAGTCAGATGTGCGGGGGGGGGGGGGGGGGGGCGGGGGGGTGGGGGGGGGGGGCGGGGGGGGGGGGGGGGGGGAGGGCGTGGGGATTGTGCTGGGTGCCAGGGACACGCAGAAGTCACAGAGCTGAGGTGAAGGGGAGTCCGGTAACGGCAGTGTGATGCGGTCCTGAGGCTGCTCTCAGATGGCTCGCCTCCCAGAAGCCCCCCGCACTTTATCCACGCTGTCAGCAGCTACTTAGCATGTGCAACAGGTTCCCTGATCTGTTACGGCCACTGCTCTGGGAAGGAGGAAGTCAGCGGTGCAGCTTCTGCATCAGGGTCGCCCAAAGCGTGACTCGTAGCTTCACCACGGTGGTTTCTCAAAATGTAGATTCCTGGACTTTGCCCCAGACCTAGTCAGTCAGACTCCCTGGGGAACTGGACCTGGAATTTTTTGTTTTGGGGGGTTTTTTGTCAGCTCTGTAGGTGATTTGTATGCTAGCTAAGGTCTTAAAGCCACTGTTTTAGGTTATGGCCCTTGATATTCACAGTCACTGAGCGGATGGATCACGGTTTTCCCATTTTGCAGATGAATAAATGGAGGCCTAAGGAAGGAAAGTGACTTGTCCAAAGACCTATAGCTGGGACAGTCCCGGGATGCATGCCCAGTGCCAGCCTTTCAGCCATCGCACACCTCCAGGGTCTTCCCCAGCTCCCCCTTCCGAAGAGATGGCGCTCCTCCCATGCCTGCAACTAACCCTCCTCCTCTTTCTCCCCACACCTTCCTGAAGCTTAAAGAAGAACACCCACACCTACTTCTACACCAGCTTTGCAGCCTACATCTTTGGCCTGGGCCTCACCATCTTCATCATGCACATCTTCAAGCATGCCCAGGTGAGCAGGGCTGTACTACGTGCCAGGGGGATGCGTGGCGAGTGCTCCCGCTGTGGCTAGCAGGGACTTCCGTACATAGGGCTTGTTTGTTGTGACATGCACAAGCAGTCCAGGGGTAGGTGCTCCCCAGCGGTATCAGCGGGGGCATGTTTGGGACCCTTGGCCTTTCACCTGAGGCCATCACAGGATGCCAGTAGCTGCTCCAGGTAGCACAGGCATGTGAGTGGCAAGGGGGAGGAGCACAGATACCAGCCATGCTTGTTGCCTTCATCAGGAAGGCAGAACCTTTCCCAGAACCCTCTTGGCAGATTGCTGCTCTCATCTCATGGGCCAGATCGGTGTCCTGTGGCTCCCACCGCAAGGAGTCTAGGAAAGAGGGGCTCTGGCTTCTGCACCTCCGTAGTGGGGCAGACGTAACAGTATTGGGGTGGATGTTGGGTGTTCCGGCCCAGTACCCACCTTACCAGTTGAGTGATAAGGTGTCAGGGGCCCTCTCCTCTGATTCCCCAGGCAGACCAGCCTCTGCGCCCTCCTCCCAGCACATTGGGTAGTGAGCTGCCGTAGAGTGAATCAGAGTGGATGAAGGCTGAGAGTGGTCATTGTGGCCCGAAGAGGGTAATACTGAGAGGCGACAGCCAACAATCCAGTCGACCAGGATTACTGTCGACTGGAAATCAGAGCACATCCCATGTGCCAGGCTCTGCCGAGTTCTTCACGGGGGCCCTCATGAGCGGATGAAGTTATGTGCCACGTGGCCAGCGCATGGTAGAGCCAGGATCCAAACCTGTGTCACGTGGCATCCAAACCCAGGCTCTGGACCCCTGGCAGTGGGAAAGGCTGGGTGGAGTGAGGGCTGAAGGGACACAGGTGGGAGGAAGTCCACACTCCTCCGTCTGTTCACTGCAGGGCTCTGGGCAGCTTGCTGAAGTTAGGCTTGATTTCCCTCGGTGATTAATTTTTTTAAAATTGGGATAGTAATAGTAGCCAGCTTGGGGCTTTTTTAGGATGTAATGAGTTAGTATAAGGAGAGTGCTCAGAATTTTGCCTGGCCCAGGTGGTATTCGCTGTCATTGTTGGCACTGTCCCCTCCATCCTCCACTCCCTCTGGTCTCCCTCTTTCCAGGGCCACCAGCCACTGAGAAACCACCTTTGAATTCATCACAGTAGCTGTTCGTTGAGCAGTTACTGTGTGGCAGACACTGTGCTAAACTCTTTTGCTCACTAACTCACTTACTCTCTATAGTATCTGTGATACTTATGAAGTAAATAGTAGTATTCTCTCATTCTACAGAAGGTCCAAGGTCCAGGGTCCCCCCTAGCCTATAGGTGGAGAAACCAAGACTCAGGGAGAAACCACCTCTCATTCATTTCTACTCCAAATAGCCTGGGGAGCTGTGTCAGCCAAGAGTGACACTCAACAAGGAGGTCACCGAGTTATTGGACCTGGCTTGGGGACTAGCTTAGAGGCCTCTGGGAAGTCTCCGCTCCCAGGCCCATCTGTTCCAATCTGAGCGCCATTCCCCCTGTGGCCACCAGGTGGCAGCCTTGCCTTCTGCCTGGTTAGACTCTGAGGACCCCATTGGGCACTCCCGCAGTGGCTGGAGAGGTCCTCTGTGTGGGGATGCTGTAGCCCAGAGAGAACACGAGATTTCCTGGGTCACGCAGCAAGTCGAGCTAGGCCCCAGCTGGAGCCCTGGACTCCTAACCCTGGCCCCAGGCCTGTGCTACTCCCCAGCAGCAGCCTAGCCATTGTCCCATCATCCACCTCGGCATCTCCCTGGAAATCTTGGAAAGAGGATCCAGGACACAAGGGGACCTGTTTCTTGAGGACCCTCTTCCTTTCTAAGACACAGGCAGTCCCGATGCCAGCAATGCCCTAGGTGGGAGTCACCACTGCCCGTCTTCAGCCCTTGTTGCCTCTATCCAAAAACCTACTCCAGGGACGCCTAGGTGGCTCAGTGGTTTAAAGTCTCTGCCTTCGGCTCAGGTCATGGTCCCAGGGTCCTGGGATCGAGCCCCGCATCGGGCTCTCTGCTCAGCAGGGAGCCTGCTTCCCCCTCTCTCTCTGCCTGCCTCTCTGCCTACTTGTGATCTCTGTCTGTCAAATAAATAAATAAAATCTTTAAAAAACAAACAAACAAACAAACCTACTCCAGGTGTGCCTGGGAGGCACAGTCAGTTAAGTGTCCTACTCTTGGTTTTGTCTCAGGTCGTGATCTTAGGGTGCTGAGATCGAGCCTTGGCATCAGGTTCCATGCTCAGTGTGGAGTCTGCTTAAGACTTTCTCCCTCTCCTTCTGCCCCTCCATGCGCTTGTGCTCACATGCGCTCTCTCTCACTCTCTCTCAAATAAATAAATCTTTTTTTTTAAATCCCACTCCAAGCCAGGGGTCTGGCAGCCTCCTAGAAAGGCCCTTCAAGATGATCAGGTGTCTTCATTGTACAGAGAGGGAAGCAGTTTAGTCGGGGTCACACGGCAGAGCTGACGCTGGGTGGAATGTCAAGAGCCCTACCACCCAGCTTGCTGTCTGGAGCTGTACATCCCAGCCTCTGCTCAGCACTGACCTTGGAGCAGGCCCCTGGTGCCTTGAGAATAGCAACCTCACCACCTCCCACAGCAGCCCTTCAGTGGCTCCTGGCTCTCAAGCCCTTGGGGAAGCTAAACTTGTACCACCTTTCCCCTACCCCCCTCCCATGGAAGCCCTCTACTTTGTCTGGCCTGGCCTTGATGAAGACTTAGAGACAGAGAGGTACTTAAAGCCACATCCTGGCCAACTGTGTGAGGAGTTCCCTCTTCTGATCCTCAGTCTCATTGTCTGCAAAGTGGGTGTGAGGAGGCCTGTTGAGAAATTAAATCCTAATAAGTTTATATTTGCTTTATTTTCTGTTCCGTCTATTTGGGCTTTTTTTTCTTTTTAAGATTTTATTTATTTATTTGACAGAGACAGTGAAAGAGGGAGCACAAGCAGGGGGAGTGGCAGAGGGAGAAGCAGGCTCCCTGCTGAGCAAGGAGCCTGGTGTGGGGCTTGATCCCAGGATCCTGGGACCATGACCTGAGCCGAAGGCAGTCACTTAACCAACTGAGCCACCCAGGCGCCCCATTTGGGCTTTTACCGTCATTATTTTCTTTCTACTTTTTGGTGTTTTATTCTTTTTCTGGCTTTTTTTTTTCTTTCTTTCCTTTTTTTTTTTTTAAGATTTTGTTTATTTGAGAGAGGGAGATGAGAGACCACACACAAAGGGAGGAGCAGGCTCCTCACTGAGCAGGGAGCCTGATGCAGGGCTTGATCCCAGGACCCTTGGATCCAGAATGTGAGCCAAAGGTTGAAGCTTAACTGACTGAGCCACCCACGTGCCCCTCTTTTTCTGGCTTCTTAACTTGAAATCTAAAATTATTTCAAGTCTTATTTTCTAATAAATGCACCTAGAGTTACATTATAAATCTCCCTCTGAGTACTCCTTTGGCTGCCTCTCACATATTTTGGTGTAGACTTTTGTCATTGTCATTTCTGTTGCCATCCAAAAGGCCTAAAACCTGACCTATGCAAAGCCTGATTCATAGCAAATACCCGATACAGTGGGAGAAGCTCTGCCACTTTTACATACCTCGTGTGACCTTGGACAAGTCCTTATCCCTATCTAAGCCTCAGATTATGTTTTTAGCTCCAAGGGTAGTACGTATGAAGTAGTGTGGCTCACAGGCCACACGTGGCAGGTGCCAAGAAATGGTCTGAAGGTCAGCCTTGGTGGGCTCTAGAGCCCTGTTCTCTGACCTCACTTGCCTTAGGAGTGGGGTCTCCTCACCCTTACCCCAATCATCTCCAAAACACCCTCTTAACTTCGTGAGCACCCATGAGGAAGCCATTTGCTTAGTACTTACCAGGCCCTCTTCTGAACGCCAGGAACAGAGCAGTGACCAAGACAGTCGTGGACTCTGCCCTCATGAAGGTGACAGCCTAGCAGCAGAGAGACTGACGTCTGTAATGGCAGAGCGATGTCCCGCTCCGGACTGCCAGAGAATGCTGCAGGGAATGGCAGGGGGCCTGGAGGGTAGGCAACAAGAGGGCCTGGCTCCCTGCCAGGGAGGGCTTCCCCACAAAAGTAGCAGGGAAGCAGAAGCCCGAAGGAGGCGGAGTCTAGGCAGAAGTGGGAAGAGCATCACAAGCAGCAGAAACTGCATGTGCAGAGGTCCTGTGGCTAGAGGTGACAAGGAGGACCAAAACAAGGTCATTGTGGGGTGCCTGGGTGGCTCAGTCGGTTAAGCATCTGCCTTCAGCTCAGGCCATGTGTCAAATAAATAAATAAATAAATATTTTTTTTTAAAGATTTTTATTTAACTGACAGAGAGATCACAAGTAGGCAGAGAGACAGGCAGAGAGAGAGGGGAAGCAGGCTCCCTGCCAAGCAGACAGCCCCATGTGGAACTCGATCCCAGGACCATGAGATCATGACCTGAGCTGAAGGCAGAGGCTTAACCCACTAAACCACTCAGTTGCCCCAATAAATAATCTTTTTTTAAAAAAAAAGGTCATTTTTGCCAGAGTAGAGCCAGTCAGTATTGGAGAAGGAAGCAGGGTCACATCTCATGGGGGACTTTAGGCCACTGGGAGCACTAGAGGTCACAGAGGGTTGAACAGTAATGTTCAGCTTTCAGGGGCTACAGGGAAAGGAATAGCTTTAGAATCCAGTATGCCTGAGGTCCAGTCCCCCGTTGACCATTTAGATATCTGAGGTCTGCACTGTCCCCTATCTCCCAAAGCATCAGCCTTCCTCGTGTGAACAAGGAGCGTGGTCATAAGGGATGTAGAGATGGATTGAAATGTTCCTCAGGAGGCTGAGCTCAAGCTAGTATACACCGCAGGCTCTCCGTCCTGTCCTCTAAACCCAGCTTCACCAGGACTCTCCGCACAGGCTCTAGAGCCGGACTGCCTAGGTTGTCTTACTGTAACGGCATCTGACAGCATCTCCTGGAGTAAACTTCCACCTCCAGATGAGGGAAGCAGAATCCCTGGGAGTAGGGTGGACCCAGGAGGTTGCTTGACTGAACCTGATGTCCCAGGACATTAAGATCCTGCCAGCCAGACGCCTGGGTACCCTTAAAGCCCTGCATGCTTGACTTTCTTTGGGTTCCTTGCATTCCCTCCCAGGGACGAGCAGCTCTGCTCAGGGGGTCAGGAGCCCCAGGTGTAGGCCCAGGCACCCACTGACTAGCTCTGGGAACCTGAGCAGTTATTCCCTGGAGAAGGTTGGAATGATGGTCATGGCCCTGAGCAGGTGTGCCACCCAGCAGTTGGTCACCAGCTCTGTTCTCTCACAGCCTGCCCTCTTGTACCTGGTCCCCGCCTGCATTGGCTTTCCTGTCCTGGTGGCACTGGCGAAGGGGGAAGTGACGGAGATGTTCAGGTAAGGCAGGGCGGGGGGCAGACACCTGCATGGCACAGGTGCACTCGCAAGCAATTCATGGAGCCTGCTGGGGCTGCTTGTACATGTCTCCAGGGGAACATTGTTCCTGCCAGCGGCCCCACCCCTTGTCCTTTCTGCCAGCACGTGGGTGCCTGGCCTGTGGCACCAGCAGGAACCTTTCTGCGGGGCTGGGAGCCAGGGGAGGGCAGCCCCCGCATCCAGATGCCTGCTGGGTCTTCGGAAGGGACTGGCTGGTGTAGTTCCCTCCCGCCCCAGGCTGCCCCACTGTCAGAAGCCCCAGGTTCCCAGCCTGCCTGTGACACCATGTGACTTCAGGCAAGTCTTTCCCTTTCCCAGCCTCAGCTTTCCCATGTGAGTAATAGGGAGGATCCTAGTGTGGTAGGAGGTGCCCCAGATTGGAAATCAGGTGTCAGTCCCTGTTGAGCCGCCTCAATGGCTCTCACCCATAGCTCTGTCTCAGCGAGTGTCTCACTTGCACTCATACCCCTTCCCCGTGGCCATATGCACTTCTGCCACACCCTGTGCACAGCCCCACCCATAGCCCACGGCCTGCGTGACTCCCAGCAGGTGTCTGCTCCCCAGCACCACTGACCCGGCCTGCCAGGGACCCAGAAATAGCTGCCCAGCTGCACTTGAAGCTGCCCACTCGGGGCCTTCCCCCCAGCGCCTCCTGCCTGGCCTCCAGGTTGTCCCTCGAGTGCCTGCCAGGGCCATCTGTGCACCTGGCTGCCTGCAAGGGAACCCGTGACTCACCCCTCCTCCGTACCTGCCTCTGCCCTCCCTGTCTTGCCTAGAAGCCCCAGGCTCCCAAGCTGCCTGCCCATATCTCCTGGCTGGCAAAGCCCTGTGGACTCTGAGGCCAGGCTGGGGGGTGAACTTGGGGGCAGATGTGGGGACGGATGGGATCTGATCCCTGAGCTCAGGACCTACCCTCACCCTCTGGCTCGTCCATTCTCAGCCACACCCCTGCCTTGGGGTCACCATCCCCCACCCCCGTCAGTCCCAGTCCTGTTGTGTCCACATAGGGTCAAGCTCTAAACCCCCAGAGCGAGGGCACCTGCTCAGTGCTTGCTTTCCGTAACTGTTCTGCCACGTGGGCACTCTCTGCCCCTCTGCCCCCGCCCCCAGGAAGTTCTCAGGTTAAGGTGAAAGAGCGGGTTGTCTCTCTCTTTCTCCAGCTCTCTCCCTAATTCTCCACCTTATCTTTTGTTTTACTTTACCCTTGAGAGATGCTCTCTTTTTTTTTTTTTTATTCACTTAGTTCACACACTCACATGGCTCAAAATTTCATGGCCAGGAGAGGGAAAAACCCCTCACGCCGCAGCCACCCCAGAGCGCTGTCTCACAGACACCACAGCACGCGTGCGCGTTCCTGCACGGATGGAAGCACCCTTGGAGCATTCTGCATCTGGATTTTTCACACAAACAGCAGGTCTCAGAGGTGTTTCTGCAGCAGCACCTGCACATCTCGAACATCCTTGCTCTTTTGCACAGCTGCATGGTGTCCCTTTGTATGGGTGCATCTTTTTTTTATACACCTAGTAAGTCCAGCTGCTTTCCCACTGAGTCTGAAAATGCAGAGGAAGATAAAAATAAGACAGCTCTGCTCCCTGCTCCTTCCAAGAGAAGTCTCTGTCCCCTTCCCTTCCCCCCGGTCTTTTCCTCTCCATCTCTTTTTTTCTGTCTCTCTGTCTCTCACACAGCTACGAGTCCTCGGCGGAAATCCTGCCTCACACCCCGAGGCTCACCCACTTCCCCACAGTCTCGGGCTCCCCCGCCAGCCTGGCCGACTCCATGCAGCAGAAGCTAGCTGGCCCTCGCCGCCGGCGCCCGCAGAATCCCAACGCCATGTAATGCCCGGCAGGTGCCCACCTGCCTGCTTCCCCCCACTGCCCCGGGGCCCAAGGTAGGGCAGACACCCCAGCTCCAGTGGATGGGGCCGGGAGCATTGCCAGGGGCAGGCAACAAGTCCTCCACTGTCACCAGGCAGTCACCATACCCAGCCTCAGGGCCGGGAGCTGGGCTCTAGAACCTCATTGTCCTCGCCAGTGGTGTGGGCTTCATGTGAGAGAACAGAGAGCAACGGCCCTCATCATCCAGGAATAGATACTCTTATTGTTGGCCTCTATAAGAAACCCTGGGCAGGTCACTTTCCTCTTCCAGAACCTCTCTCTGTTCATCTAAGTGGGCACATTCCTGCCTCCTGGGGTTGACCTGGGGAAGAGATACAGGTACAGTCCTTGGCGTGAACTCAGTTGCTCAATAAATGGGACCCATAGCAAGACCCGAGCCAGGGTGGCAGCCTTCGAGAGTGGCACCTTGCCACTTCCCGGAAGAGCAGCCCCCTGCCTGCCTGCGTCCTGGGGCTGAGTTGTTTGACACCTGCCACGCACCCTGGGAAGCAGCCCCCTCCCATAGCCTCATCCTGGCTGCCCCATTTTTTTCCCCACTCTCTCCAGTGGAAGGTCCAAGAAGCTTAAAGTTAACCCACCCAAGCCCAACCTCTCCTCCATCTGCTGCTGCCCTCCACTACCTCTTGGCACCACCAGGCACAGAAAAAGGAGAGCAACCTGTCTGAGAAGGGCATGCGGTGGGGCCGGGGCCAAGCCTGGAAGATGCTGGGCCGTGAATGCCAGGCTGGTGTTCCTTGTGTGCCCAGGGATTTTCCTGGGATGGTGGGGAGGTGGGGCCTGGAAGTTCGGCTCTCCCCCTCCTCTAAAGGTGTTGTTCTTATTGTTTTGTTTTTTTGGTCAGTTATGAGGAGTCAAATCCTAAGGATGCAGCAGCAGTGACAGAGGGATCCAAAGAGGGAACAGAGGCCTCGGCATCGAAGGGGCTGGAGAAGAAGGAGAAATGATACAGCTGGGGCCTGACCCTCTGAGGGCCAGGCCAGGCAGGCGGAGGCAGGCCAGTACAGGCCTGCGCGGGCAGAGGGCGCTGGAGGCCGAGGGTGTGGGAGGCTGGGCAGCTCCAGCAGAGGGGTGGGGGCAACAGGATCCCTCCTGCGGGGACTCCCACGGGCTGGTTCCCTCATCCCCCTTCTCTGGCCTTCCTCTGCCCCTTCTCATCCCCTGCAGGCAAAAGAAGCCCCAACTCCCCCACTCTCCCAGATGCCAGGCGGGAAAAGTGGGTCTGATTTTTAGATTTTTGTATTGTGGACTGACTTTGCCTTACATTAAAAATTCATCCCAGGATCCCCTGGGTAGCTCAGTCGGTTAAGTGTCCAACTCTTGATCTCAGGGTTGTGAGTTCAAGCCCCATGGTTGGGGCTTGAGCTCCATGCCCAGTGTGGAGCCCACTTAAAAAAAAATGTCATCCCATTGCTCAGGTAGGCCACTATGCCCCTGGAGGGGTTCTCTGCACCCAGCGTCTTGCCTTTACTAGCTCTCACCCTGCCACTCAGAAACTTCCCTGGAAGCCCCTTCCTGGGAACTAGGAACTCAAAACCTCAGGGAGAGACCCTGACCTCCAGGTCCTTCCATCTTCATGGATGCACGCCTAGTGCCTAGCTAGCTCAGCACGTCAGGGATGCCTCCTGCCAGCAGAGGGGGCCCACGAGCCCTCCTTCATTACCACCCCCGCCCCCGTTTAGTTTTCTTCACCACATTCTTCCCAACACTTGAGTGCAGTGAGGCTGTTAGGTGCTCCATGTATCGCCCACCTACCCTGTCAAGACAACAAGGGAGGATACCAAAAAGCTGACCTGATTCAGCAAGAGGACCAGTATCTGCAAAGCTAGAGAAATGGGCAGGGCCTCATGGATCCCAGGGAAGGATTTAGATTTTATTCCCAGGCTGGCAGGAGCCAGGTCTTTATGGCTTTAGCTGGAGAGCACACGGATTCTAGATCGCCCTGGAGATCACGGCCCCATAATTCCTATTCTGCTCATTCCCAGCATTCTTCCCAAAATGACTATGCAAGGCCAGAAGGGTGCTGATGCTAGAAGCCACCCCCTCCGCACACTGAGGCCAGTCACAGCACAAGGGCCAGGGCCCCTGAGAGGCTGGAATGGGAAGGAATGGGACCCAGTGCAAGTTTGCTGAAGACAGCAAGGAGCCGTGGCCTGCAAGAATCCCCAGTGGACCAGGCAAGGGGTGGGCCCAGCCCTTATCCACCTGCCTGCTGTGGGGTCACTGGGTGGAGAAAACAGGTGGAAGAGGGTGACCACCAGCCCCAGCCCAGGACTCGGGCCTCCAGCTCCCAACCCAGGGCTCTCTCATGCCCAAGCTTCAGGTTCAAAGGCTGAAAATAACTGGTTTCCAGACAGTTCGGAGGTGGCCAAAAGACAGGTATGAGCAGAGAATGGGAAGTATCCGTGTATTAAATTGTTCCCAAGCACCTCTCTCGAGGATTTCACCTCATTTCAGTCTTAGGCTCCAGGCACTAGTATGAGCCCCATTGTGCAGATGAGACCATTGAGGTGGGTTACCACAGATTTGCACTTGACCTCAAGCAGTCCATGTTGAATTCTCAAGTTCCTAAGGACTGTGCAGCTCCCCTCTAGGACCCTGGGCCCGAGTCCCTGGCTGGTGTTCTGGACACCTTTGAGATAGCTGCCCCACTTCTCTGGGCCTATAGAGACAGAAAGGAAGGCTAGGAAATCTCAAAGGTTTCTCCCAGCCAGGGGGTCCCTTTCAGGGGCTTCTCGGATCCCTGCCGACCCCTGCCACCTCCGGAGGGGAGGCCGTGTGGTCCTGGAACAAGGCCCCTCTAAGGGCAGCAGATGGGGCAGGCGGCCCAGGCACACAGCATGGTTGGCTCTGCGGCCCACGGCCTACAAAGGCCTCATTGAGTCACCGCCGGCCCCCGGCAGAGGCTGAGGTGGCAGTGGCGCCGGGCGCCTGCCACCTAATGACCGGCCCGGCCCGGCCAGATGTTCCACAGACCTCGGCAGCGGCCATCCAGGGCCCGCCCGGCCAGCCGGCACCGCAGAGGCCACTCTAATTCCAATTAACCAGCTTCAGCTGAGCAAACAGCGGGCAGCGGTGGCCCAGCCCGGGCGGTAGGCCCGGCCCGCAGAGCCTCCGAGTCTAGACTCCAGATGTGAACCGCCACCGCCAGAGTCCCATGGAAAAATGGCACCAGGCCGGGCATGGATTGAGCCTGCACGCTGGAGAGGTGGGGGTGGGTGGCTGGGCAGGGTTCTGGGTGGGCCTAGTGCCAGCCTCACCCCGGGGTGGGAGTGGATTCTTGGGAAACTGCTCCAAATTCCCCAAGTCCTGTCCCTGATTTGTTAGGTGTTCCCCTCTGGCCTCAATCTCCCCTGGCTACAGGAGGTGGAAGGGGACTCCAAAGGGGAAGACAAGCCCTGCTGAGAGCCCTAATACAATTTTATTTGTACTTAACATGTTTCTAGCAATATGTTATGTATTTTTGAAATATTTAGTCGTTACAACAACCCCATAAGGTAGTACCATCATTTTTACAGATAAAGTAAATGGCAGCAGAGAGAATTAAGTACCCAGGGGGGATTTGAACCCAGGATGCCTGGCTTCCAAGACCATGATGTTAACCACAGGTGCTGTTTGACATAAATCAGGCTGCTGGATCCCGGGTTCCCTTTCTTGGGAGCGGCGCTGGAGAAGAGGGTCAGCGTCTTGGCAGAGCAGGGCTGGCTTGCCACACTGACTGGAGGGGCCTGCCCACTCTGTTCTGTTTCCTCAGCTGTGAAATGGGTAAGACCCTCCCAGCACGGCTCCAACTTCTGGGGGTAAAGCCTCGAGATACCCTTTCAGGCCTAAACACCAGGAATGAGTTGGGCACTGGTCAAGAAGCTGGGCACAGCAGGGAACACAATGTCAAGCGCTGAAACAGACTTGAAATGGCTGAACAGAGACGCCTGGGTGGCTCAGTGGATTAAGCCTCTGCCTTCAACTCGGGTCATGATCTCAGGGTCCTGGGAACGAGCCCCCGTATCAGGCTCTCTGCTCGGCAGGGAGCCTGCTTCCCCCTCCCTCTCTCCCTGCCAAATAAATAACCTTTAAAATTTTAAAAAAGAAAAGAAAAATGGCCGAACAAGTGAAAAATGTCAAGTCAACACTTGGGACGGGAGTGGTGCCTCCGGTTTCCCCAGTCTTGTCTGGGGTACCCGAGAGGCAAGGCGAAAGCTTGCAAGATCCAGGAGGTCAGAGCTCATGCGTCCTTGCACAAATGGGAAGACTGAGCACTACCCCACACCCCCCAAAAGTCACACAAGGGAGTGGATCCCGGGGGCTGCTCAGACCCGTCATGCTTTCCCACCGCTGGGATTCCCTCAGCGACTCCAGGCCGGGTCTTGGGAGGCGGAGGCTGCATCCTGCCCGGGTGCGTCAGGAAGGGCCGAGCGGGAAGGAAGGCACCACCCCCACCCCCGCCGCGGCCACACCTGGGCTCCCCCAGCGGGCGGGGGGCGCGAGCCGGCGCCTGGCTCCAGCGAGTCTGGGCCGCCTCCCCGCGCCGCCCGGTGGGGGCCGCCAGATGGGCCGGCGGCCCGCCCAGCGACGCAGGCAGGAAACGGCCGCTGGGCCTGCCAGGGACGCGGCCGCGAGCGCCGGGGGCGGGGACCGCCCTGGAACCGCCCCCTGAGGGGAGGGGCCGTCTAACCCGTGAGAGTCCTGATTCCCGGATCCGCCACCGCTAGCTGGGTTCCCTTGAGCAAGGTCTTCCCCTTCTGTGTCCCCCAGTTTCCCCACCAGTGAAACGGGTCTGTTTATCCTAGATCTTTTCTTCCTTTTTTTTCTTTTAAGACAATTATTTGTTTTAGAGAGAGTGAGCAGGGGGAGGGGAAGAGGGAGAAGGAGACTAGCGACTCCCCAGTGATCAGGAAGCCCATATGGAGCTCCATCCTAGGACCCTGAGAGCATGACCTGAGCCCAAATCAAGAGTTACATGCCGGGGCGCCAGGGTGGCTCAGTGGGTTAAAGCCTCTGCCTTCAGCTCAGGTCATGATCTCAGGGTCCTGGGATCCAGCCCCGCATCGGGCTCTTTGCTCAGTGGGGAGCCTGCTTCCTCCTCTCTCTCTGCCTGCCTCTCTGCCTACTTGTGATTTCCATCTGTCAATTAAATGAATAAAATCTTAAAAAAAAAAAAAAAAAAGTCACATGCCTAACTTGTGGAGGCATCCCATAGCCCCTCCTACCTCTTCTCTTACCACCCTGTGCCTGTGAGCAGTTTCTTGCTCTTCTGTTCCTTGGTTTCCTTACCCCGGAAATGGGGTGACCACGACGAGCCATTTCCACTGGAATACCAGCTCTGGGAGGGCTGAGCCGTCCTCCCTACTGTTGTAACCTAGGGCCTGGCCCAGTGACCAAAAGATGAGGGCACTCAGTATTTGTTGAAAGTCCCAGGTCTGGGGGGCGCCTGGGTGGCTCAGTGGGTTAAGCGGCTGCCTTCGGCTCAGGTCGTGATCTCGGGGTCCTGGGATGGAGTCCCACATCCAGCTCTCTGCTCGGCAGGAAGCCTGCTTCCCTCTCTCTCTCTGCCTGCCTCTCTGTCTACTTGTGATCTCTCTCTGTCAAATAAATAAATAACATCTTTAAGAAAGTCCCAGGTCTGGGACATTCCCAGGGGCCTAACTCATAGCAGGCACTTCATAAACGAACACACGTTATCTTGGGTCTACCGCTTACCAGACATATAGCTACAAGCTAGTGTCTTCTTGTCTCTGAGCCTGTTTCCCCATACGCCTGGTGCGTGGCTGTGAGGATTAAGTGAGATAATCATGGGAAGCTCACATAGCAGGTCCAGGTCCTCAATAGATGGTATCTATGGAAGTATCCACCAGATGTGTAAAAAGAGATACTATTCAGGTAAATGTGAGGGCAATTTGGAAGGAAATTTCTCTTGTATATATATTCTTTTGTATATTTTCTATTTTCTTTTAAGATTTTATTTTAATTATTTGTCAGAGAGAACATAAGCAGGGGGAGTGGGAGAGACAGAAGCTGGCTCCCCACTGAGCAGGGAGCTTAATGAAAGGCTCCCTGGATCCCAGGATCCTGGGATCATGACCTGAGCTAAAGGCAGACACTTAATGGACTGAGCCACACAGGCGCCCCTGTATATTTTGTATTTTTTAAATTTTGAGCCAGGTGAACATAGTTTTCAAAAACAAATACAATTCAAACAATACAGATATAACTGAGAATAAAAAGAAATCCAGCCCTAGCAGAACGAAATATTAACTATTACTTCCATGTGACAAAGGAGGCATCTGAAAATCAGAGAGGGTCTGA